TCAGCGACAGTTTTCAGCGGCATGGATAGATCGGACTGGTCGTTAACAATCTTATGGATTACCAGAGACTGTGATTCGGCAGTTTTCAGGTGACGGATAATATTCTTCCCAAAAGTCGTGATGTAACACAGTTGCTATCTCATAGCTTTCCTTGGTTAGAGTGTCCACCAGTTCACAAAGACCAGCTGAGTCTCCAAACTCGTTTCATACAGCTTGCAACATGGCTGGGTAATGATGGAAATATTTGCTGTGATGTGCGATAGGTTCCAGTCAAGAGTTCCAGCGGATGATGACCGGTGTAAGTGGGCCGGTTGGGTTATCCACACCCTCCAGAGTTGGCTAGTCCATGTAGACACGCCAGGAGACGAAAAGCACTTTCCATTTTTGGAACGAATTCGTCGACTTCCAGAGGGAATTTGTGAATGGTCTCTAGTCAAGTTGATGCAGTGGGCGACACATTTGATGTGAACTCATTCCTCACAAACAGGTTTAATGACATCTTGGTAGCATGCTGTCATATATCTTACGCTATCGGACACGAAAGCCGTCACACTACTAAACTCTGTACCTATCGTTATCCAACTGCGCAGAATGGTTCCTCCATCTATGGCAGAATTGACTGTTTCCATATTGGCCGTGTCGAGGAGGTATGCTTTTAGACTGTCCTTGTTTGACTTCAATGGTACGCACACCAGGATGTTTAGTTCCATCTCCCCGTGATCATCAGTTATTTCGTCTGTTATAACACTCACAAAGGTATCACGGGACATCTCTCTCAATATCTGATTATGTTTCCCTTTGAGTTTGGTAATTTGCGAACATAGCGCGTCAGATCCGGCAATGTTTTCACCATTTCGTACGTGTCTAGGAAGAAGTTTCCCCGGCTGGGGATTGTCAGCCTTCTCTAGAGAAATATTCGCAGATATCATGTCAAGTCAAAACAGGCTTTATGAATCCGGCTGGGAACCTTTTCGGCATCTTACACTAGTACTGAGAATATAGGGAGACATAACGTAGGCATGGAATTGCAATAAAAGCATAAAAAGTAGAAAACGTGCATGCACACTGCTTTAGTAAGAATTCAGGCATGGCGCCAATAACTTCTTTGGAGTCCACAAGAAAACAGGATTATTACTGTAAGATAGAGTTGTGATAACATGTGGGAGAAAACAAAACCCTCAATTTAGAGCGGGTAGACGAGCAGCACGCGACTAATCACAATATTGGTAAACAATGTGTGCCGACTCACTTAGTCTGACTGGCTCCCTCAGTCCCTCACTCAGTCCGTCATCGTCGCGCGTGTTTCTCTTGCTTCTGACGTGCTCGTGCCTACAGCTATTCATTGGTGTCTGCCACCAAGTTTGGATCAGTCTAGGCAGGTGACGTGAATCACCTCAGTAACGGACAGTCGAAGCGCCTGCAAGTGACCTATAAAGTAACCATGCTCTATCTCTAATATACTTTGGTCAAGTTGGCCTCGGTGTTTTGTTTCTTCCTCGGCTGGGTTGACAGCACAAGGAGTAGAGGGAAATAGGCAGCGTTACTACAGGTCTCTGTCCGTACAATAACACTGGTCTCACCGTAGGTTTGTAAACTCTTCAACACTACGCTTACCTCCCACCGTCTCGTAAGTGGCTGAGGATTTGTAAAGCCACTGGAGTCTTGGCGACGCGTCCAGTAGCTTCTTTGGCGATTTACCTGCAAAACAACAGCTACCCAGATAAGCTGCTGAATAACTTAGATCAACTGTTCAGTGATATGGGGAACGGAATTTGAGTGGGTCGAGTCCCGTAGCAGTGCTTTGCACACTAAATGTACAAAGCGTATGTCGAAGCATGCAGCGGCACGCGTTGCATTTGCCAAACGGCTACGTCCGACCCTAACAGAGCTGGGACCCCACACACTCTGGGTTTCACAGCCACTCGTGCCGTAGAACATCGACCTTCCGAGAAGTGGAAGGAGACAGGAGAGTTAATCATTATTATTTAGATAAAAGTTGCAGAGGAATCGGGTAACCCCGACGCACTCTACTTGTCGCGGCGAATACAGTGGATGATGTTATGTGGACTCTTACACGGTCACTGAATTGGCGGTATAAAAGTTTCAGAATAGAGGGATATTTCCGATGTTTCTCTCCAGACAAACACCATCACAAGTAATTACAATCAAACTTGATAGATCACTTGATGATGTATCTGACGAACTGTAAACATGTTAGTGCTCTTTCTTTTTGAATGGAAACCAGTCTGGCTTTAACTGATTCGTCTTTCGCAAGGAACAGCAAACCACCGTACGGTATTACTTTAGAGGTAAGTGAGATCGTACTAATAACACGACAAATTTTACACAAGACATCCTTTGGCTCTTTTATAAAAATGCCGATGACGTTCACTAGTCGTCACTTAGAGGATACTTCCTGGTTGCTCCAAAAGGTGTCGGACAGCGCAACCAGAATAGGTACCAGTGGATTACCTCCGTCCCGTCAACAGGGGGTGATGGAAGGCCATCTTGCCAAAGTGCCTTATTCCGCTTCAGCGTTATCAGCTCTTGTCGGGTTTCTTCATCGGAGGGATTGTTACGTGAACATCCTTTGGGGGTTCAAATGGAGTATTAATCAACCCAGATATACTAGGGTGGCTGAATGTTTCTTTAAAAGTTTCAGCCCAACCTTCTATATAACGTTATTTGGGGTGAATTAGTTGTCCATCCTTCTCAGTTACAGTTTCACTCATGGGAACCTTTCTTGCTGTGTCCAGTAAGCTGGAACGGTACTCGTCTTCCAAATTGCGCTGAATTTTTTTTACCACATACACTCGCCGTACACCAGCACTGCCGATCAATTCTAAAACTCAATCAGCTGGCTTTTCGGAGTGTTGTATCATTTAACTAACCTCACGACGGAAACAGTTAGCGCCCTTCAGCTTTATATCAGTCGGTTACTCCTGTGTTCCCATTCGCCGTCAAATGTTTTCCAGTGCTTTTGTATTGCATGTTGAAAGCGATTCCGGTCCACCTTCTGCTCCCCCGTTTCATTCGTCCGTACTGGCTGATGCTGGACTTTACGCTGATGCGGTTACTTCGCAGATTTTGACTACAGTTCAGCCTATCACCTTCGAAGTTCAATAATTGGCCGATGTGACCTTGAACTCTAGTTGCACGCGCGCGGCTGTTCACTTCTATCTATTTTGGAATCAAGTCTACTGCGAGATATTGTTATATCGCGAATTTCGCGAGTCACGGATTCGTTCACGTGAGGTGTACACACCTCATCATTTGAACCGGAGTCTGGTAAACACAAATGGATTATGGCACTTATCCTGTGTGCATGTTTCATGATACAGTCTACTACATCTACATCAACTTCTAGTGTGTGTAAGACCATAGCGTGCGTCGCTTGTCGACCAATCTGACGTAACACGCGGACATTAAAGGCCCCAGGGTGAATTCGTTCCCCAAGGTTTGAAAGATGATCTTGCTTGTTAGTTTGGATGGTGAAATCAATAGCAACTTGCCAGTAAGCAGGAGAAAAGAATTCGGGAAATGGAAGTGTAACGAAAGGGGTGAAAAAATTACCGGCGACGGGACCTTGTGCGTAGATGATGCTCTCCGACCGCCCATTCCGAGAGAGGGGTTTTGTTCGGGTTGTCATTCCCCAGCTTTTAACTCAACAATTTTCCCCACAATGCAGTGAAAGGCAAGTTCAGTTTGGGGTGACTGCTGGGTCCCATTGGTATATACTAGAAGCCTGTCATGCGCAGCCTTTGATGATTTGGAGAAGTTGACATGTATCTTTCAGCCGTAATATGTTACGAATCTGCGATCACTGTCAAAAGTATGGGTTATCATCTACCCATGTCTACGATTCCGGCTGAAGGGAACTCGTTCTCCGCTAGCTCCGAATCCCAGCCGGAAATCGGAAGCCAATGGTTGGAGGCAAAAGCATGTTGCAGAACAAGCTACCGAACGGCTACATGTAGTGTGTAATCCAGTGAGTATTTATTGACCTACCCATATACCTCAGCTGTCTTGATTGGTGGTCCAGTTCCGCTATCCAATGGGAAAGTTGATACGCTCGTCGTATGGACACGAACTTTTCTGAAACTGGTTGATGTTTCAACTGTACACCATTGGCTCAGCTTGTTTTCCCATGAAGTTCTTGAGTTTTCCTGGGAGCTTTTACTCTCCCTGGTATATATATATATATATATATATATATATATATATATATATATAATCTGTCCCGCTTGTATTGTGTTTGCTACTGATGAGAACTGTCGAAATGTCGACATATCGCAGCGTATGCTCTCTATGCTTTGATGTATTGGCTGAAAGGGACTGCATGTTTCACGATTCAAGGGTTTCCGATTCCAATCTACGTAGATGCAAGCGACATCGTTGTGTCCCAGCCCACATGTAACCGCAAGCGTGGGCGAAAAGTCGCACGATATGAGATCCCGCTGCACTACGGATAGCTTCTATTTTTCTCTTCGATGTGCAAGCTGCGTTCTGTTGCATGGGAAAACGAGGGTAAGTGCTATCAGTCTACGAAAATGCGCCCAGGAATTCTTGACTCCCCGACTTGTGCTTCTGGTTCGAATTGAGAGTAACTTCCATTGCCTGGAGCCGTAAGTGACTCGGAACCATCAACGATGAAATACTGCGCATGAATTTCCACATTCATCCAAGGTTTGTTGACGTTTGCAATCACGAGTAGTTTTGATATTTTTGTGGACTACCCATTTTTGGCGAGATACTCTCTCTCTCTTCAAGCATTGTGTATGAGTTTTGCCGCACTTTGTAAGTGCGTAATCCGGTATGTAGCGCAGTTGACGACTGATTTCTTGATTGTGCAACCTTCAGTCGGATTAACCAGCCACACCGCCGACCAGTTCCTTGCCTCAATCATTCCCTATTACCCATTGCCTTCGGAATGCTCTGCGACTGCGTGCCTCTATTGTTGTTTGATCACTCACATCCCTAGTTATTCCCTTCGTTCACAGTTTTGACGATATGATGGGGGGAGGTTTCCCCATCGGAAAATTGACGGAGCTCTGCGGACCACCAGGCGTCGGAAAGACTCAATTTTGGTAAGTTGCGTCTTGTACGTAGTGGATTTCACAGTTCCTACTTTGACTCTCTCACTTTCTTATTTGGTGCCGAATCACCATATGAGCCCAACATTTGGATATCCCTTTTGTGTGGTGCACCAGGACCACACTTTCAATGTGAAGGATGTTGTCTCGTGTATAAGTCAATGCGTCTCCGGCTTCTACCATCATTGAACAAGCTTTGAACTCAGCCTTTCGAGGTATCTACATCACCGAAGAGGTTCCACGTCACTTTTCAAAGTATCAGTTAACTGGAGGCCGTTGGCTTCCCGATTGTAAGTAGGATTTACAAGGTAAAAATGTGTCCAGGGTCGTTGTATGCACCATAGACAAGACAATAACGCGTTAAACTTATAAGAACACTACTAGAGTTTGTCCAGTGATGCTCATGGGGTATCGCATCCCCACAGCTGTAGTTTATCGTCAGCTCGTTTGGCGTTTAGATGGACATTTTCACTCTACCTGTCGATGCTGTCTACATCACATTTTCTTCATGCCTACCGGCCATCTTGTGTGACATGGTTTGCCTACTAGCACTGCATCTGGTTGGTTTAGGTCCACTGTTAGTCACATGGTGGTTGTACAAAAATGAAGTCAACTTGATGCGAGCCGCCTTTTTGGATGAAGCTAATGAGCTTGAGCAGCATCGATGACTCTATTTGACTTGATGTGGTCGAAAAGTTGGTACTCTTTTCCATATGATCATTATTCCTTCTATCTGATGAGTTTTGTTTTATCTCGTTTTATTGCATTTTCGTTCGTTCGTTTGCTTACTTTTCCTTTCCGCTTTTTGTCCTCCATCACTTATTTTGTGGCATTCCGGACTGGTTCGATTTATTCTAGCATAGATTCGTTTCAACTGCACTTTATCACGCATCCGCGAAACTTCGGGACGGCCGTTTCGTCCTTTCAAGGTTCGATTTCAATGAGCGATTCTTCTGTCTGCGACTGTATTCTGCCAAGCTTGTGTTTGATTCTACTGTCTTTTGGAACGATAACCCCTATGACCTTGTGGCTGGTTGTTATATACTACGGTACTCCGCATTCCCGACGCACAGAGGGTGGGGCTGAACCCCATAGACACGACTTCCCTCGTTGAGCAGTCAGCCACCCTATAACATTACTACTTGGCTGGAACAGTTACAGTTACATTGTCATTTAGGTTCTCGCGATCCTTCGTAACTCGTGACCCCAGTCATTGTCTCAGTAGGGGAGGGGTTGCAAGTTCTAGCTTCTCACTGGACAGGGTTAATGTTCGCTGTTGTGGAATTTCGAACAATAGAATAATTGACCATCAGGATGCATGTGTCTGGTAGTTCCACTTTAAAGTTGATCGAAATTCCCGTGATATAAGACGTGTTTCCCCACACTGTTGTTCTCACACTAGCACGTATCGATCGTCGGGTATATGCGCAAAAAGTTAAGACTAAAAGTTGCTTCCCGTATTAACGATTTTCTACTAGACACACAGCCACTTTCCTCACGACTTGCAATCGAGCTTGACATCCGATTACTCTACTTCCCTCGCTCATTCAATCGGATGGATGACTTTTTAATATGCTACTGGATGCCAGTTATTCCGAAATTGTCGGAACGCGAGCTCCTCTTTTGACTACTCGATTACCAACCGTTACTTTCATTCCTTGTATCCGCGGATTGCGCAGTTCATAGTAAATACCTCGATACAAGGTGTCATTACAGCAGTTGAATCAGATTGACTGGCTTTAGTGGTACGTGGCACTCTCTTCCTCCTTTGATTTTCGCTGCTACCGAGATGCACAGAATTCCTGCGCTCGGTTGACATCCCCACGGACACAGACAACTTCTGTATTGATTCTAACTTTTTGCTTCAGCATTCAAGCTTGCTTAACTGTGCAACTGCCTCGCTGGTTCGGTGGTTTAGAAGGTGAGGCTGTCTTCATCGATACCGAAGGTAGCTTTGTACCCCGCCGTGCCCGTCAGATGGCCGAGGCACTGGTCGACCACTGCAGACGACATCTCACACTCCAGAGTAAGCCAATTTACCGACATTTATCCTACGAAAAAGCCTTGCTATATTTTGCTTCGGTTCTCATCTGTCCGATTTACTTCCGTTGTCTCGATGTGTTTACGATGAACGGAGTGCACACCCGGTTTCACCCTCTTGAACTCACTCTATTACCTCTTCCAGGTTTTTTCCCCTACATTTTGTTTAATTCGCTTTAAGGTCAATGTGCACTTCTAATCCATGGTCCCGATGAAATTTGATTCAAATACCGATCAAACAAAACTGCATCGTAGCCGGTTCAATCAACGGAGTAACCAAAACGATGGAACGCTGTATCTGGTCGCTTGGGTGCACCCAAAGCGTCTTGCTGCAAATCCGCCAGCAGATACTGTTAACGCTTTTACCCTTTTCGCCTTATTGATTTTGCGGTCATTATCTTCCAAAGGAGTGTCGTCAAAACTGCACTCAGCCAGAAAGCCACTACGCATCCGGAGAGACACTGGACAGCCGTTTCATCCCTTCTGGAGTCGTTAGTACTGCACCTTTCATCTGACCCCATGTGGGGCGAGAACCGACAACTTAACTGTTAGCATTCTGGGATTATAACCATGGTGGAGAGGAGGCAGCCAACGTAACTTAATAAAACGCTATCGTATAGCACGACACACGTCTCCCGATGTCACGCTCATTTGCAACGTGTGGAGAGCAGGGTTGGCCGCTTGATACACGACTACCCTTACTAAGCTAGCCCGAACAATTAGTGATTTCTAGGGGGCTGGGAAATTGCATTTGGATTGAATATCGAATGTAGTTTGCTCCAGAGCCTGCGGATCTGGAAAAGCTATAGAGAATCGTTTCGTGCTTTTGAGATCGGTTAGCACCGCGTGACTAATCTACCCAGTGAGTCCCGAGGGTCTGAAATGGCTGCTCGGTGCTTTACTAGATGTGCAGCTTCAGAGAGATTTGCGGACAATCGATTGGTTTATTTAGTTGGCAACGTTTCGCTGTTGACACAAATCTTTCCTTGGCCAGATGAATTGGTAAATAGTTGGTGTGGCATTTTATAGTAGGTGAGGGAATGGTGACAACTGGGATCTCAGTTAAAAGACCTACAGACACAAGTGGAAAAGTTATCTAAAGTGGTTAATCAGAGTGGGGTTATTGTCGGAGTTTCACTGTCCGTCATGTAGTCAATTAACGCCTTGGTGTAGATGATGATGTCACTACTTGCATTCCTACCTGTTCCGCGTGTTGACGCTCATCAGACTGGCCGGGTTAAGAATGCTGTCCACACTTTCAAGAGTTACACTTCCTCCATCCTATTCACAAAGCTATCAGTTTTAACGATTTCGATCGCCTCGACAATTTACTTCTGACGCTTCGCTCGTAAACCTTTCCTAACCATCTCAACATTATCTGAATCCATCTGACGCACGGTGTCTAGCGCAGGTACAGCTACGGCAGAATCTCTTAACAGAGCTCTGTGTTCAAGCTCATTTCTCGTCAGTTGCAACACGCACTTTATGTGTTCTAAAATCCGTGTCCTTAGCTATTTTCCTGTTTGACCAATGCATATGTGTGCACAGTCTTTGCAGTTGCTTTTATGCACACATTTAGTCATCCTATGTGTGAGAGGGGGGTCTCTCAGGCGAACCAGCGTTGAATGTTAAGTTTGGCCACGCTGAAAGACCACCCTTATATCCTCCTTGTTCAATACCATCCGAATTGCTTCCGTGGTTTCCTCTTTGTTAGGAATTTTCACTGTTCCTGCCCAATGCGTTGTGGACCTTGTCTGTCGGTTTAGTACTGTTTGTAACTGACGTTTACGTAGACGTCACGGGTAGCCACTGTTTAGTAGTTTGCTCATTGCCTCTGTCCATGCAGCCCTTTTATTTTCTTCCGTTGTACACAGGGTCTGTGTCTTATGGCACAGCGACGAAACTGTCCCTGCGTGAACGTTCTTTGAATGACCTGAAGTATAATGGAGTATCCTATTAGGTATCTGTTGGTTTGCGGTTTATTGTTGTTCTCGAATTTCCTCCATTTCTATGAACTAGGCAGTCAAGGAATGGTATTTTACTACCGCACAACTCTGAGTCCACAGAGAAGTTTCTTCTCTCGTCAATAGAGTTTAGATGGTTCAGCAAGTCCCACTTCTTATCCATTTTTATTATCACCAAAGTGTTGTCTAGGTAGCGCCGCCAAATCAGCTATGAGCTACCGGAGTTTAATAGCATCACATTCTCGAAGTTGTCCATTTACAAGTTCACCAATACAGGGGGTAATGACCAGCCCATGACCAAATCTTGTTCTTGGTTGCATCGTTTCAACTGGAAAACGAAATAAGACATGCTAAGGCACCATGTCATACCCTGAACTATATGATTGACTGTAAGTTTTGTTCTCTCTCGCCAGTGGATTGTCCTCGTTTAGGCATCGTCTTGCTAACTCAAGCGGTTCTTCTTTGGGTACATTAGTAAAAAGCGAGATGACATCAATGATTACCAATTGTCCATCCGGCTCAATGGTGTGTCCCGCTATCTTTTGAGCAAACTTGTACGAGTTCTTCATGAACATACTCGTTCGTCTTATTAGGGGCTGCAACATTCCCGCCAAATATCACTCGAGTTCCTGAGTTGCAGCGCCTAGACCGTCGACGATAGGCCGCATGGAAACGTCAGGTTATATATCTTTGGTACCCCATGACGTCTAGGAGGCCGAGTCGATTTCGGATAGATGCTGTACCATTTACCTACTTTTAAAGCGTCCCTTACGGCTCAACTAGTTGCCAACTTCCGTTTTATTCTTATTCATCACCGTCGTTACGGTTTTCTTCTCGACTGACTTATCCGGTCCTGTCTCCAAATGTTGTTTCATTTTCTTTGCAAATAATCCGACTTATTCATCACTACCATTTTCCTCTCTCAGCCTTTGTAGTTACGATACTACGATTGTCCTACAAGACATTCAACGCCATGCGTTCAGGCGGTGTAAGATTGGGTTTCCCATGTTTTTGAAATTTAATAATATTCACTAGTTGTGGATGCATATCCCCCGCCCATACCTCGGGTATCTTAGTTACCACAATTTCAACGCTATAACTTATCTCCTCTGCGTATATCTTACGTTTGTTGATAGTATCGCTCGCATCCTTCTCCAACAATCTATGCTCCGTTTCAAAATTCTCTAACAAAATAACTGCTTTACGATAGTTGCCACTAGATCCAGACTTATCACAGACCGTTGGCATTACGATGCATAGAAACTAAACGGTTGAACTTACGAATTTATCTTTACTTGGTGTCCTGTACCCTTTAGACTTAACTTCTGGAGCTTTTTTTAAAGGTAGGTCATAGTCGAGACGGATTTCACAATGTGCTTGTTAAATAACGGCCGAATAACGGCCATCATCATCTTCACTAAGGCGTTAATTGACTACATGACGGACAGTGAAACTCCGACAATAACCCCACTCTAACTAACCACTTGAGATAACTTTTCCACTTGTATCTGTAGGTCTTTTAACTGATATCTCAGTTGTCACCATTCCCTCACCTACTATAAAATGCCACACCAACTATTTAGCAGTTCATCTGGCCTAAGGAAGATTTTATGTCAACAGCGAAACGTTGCCAACTAAATAAACCAATCGATTGTCCACATATCTCTCTGAAGCCATGATTTCTGTATGGGTTCCAAGTGCATTCCTTGTTACATGCGCAGTTGCCCATCCAAATGTCATGGAAATTCATTCCAAACTCCCCCGTTATTCGCTCTATAAATTGCTTACTGAAAACCTAGTAAATAGTATGTTTTCAAAGAAAACGTCTTTCTATCATGTGTCAATCATCTTTCCCGCCCAGAGCTATATACTCAAGCAAGGTAGCAACATTCCCTTGCAACTTGCTTGTTCTCCCTTTTTTATTTGTTTATTCCGATATCCGATAAATGAAAACGGTTTTTGTAACCATTGGGGTAACAGGATAAAATTTTGTTCAACACAGTAAACGTCAGCACAAATGATAGCGGTTCCTTTTTGTTTTCGATGTTGTTTTTTTGCACTAGCTTCTGCACAGTGAATCGTAGCTAGAACAAGCATGGTAGACTAACATTCACACCACCGATTTATATTGCTATCCACCACCTGTGATTTCTAACCACTGCGGACGGACAGATCCAACTGGCACCAGACATGAGGTATCCTTCATTTTGCTTTTCCACGTCCTCGGCTGTGCGCCGTGGCACGTTCTCCATTCGCTTACGGAAAGTGCATGTAATGTGCGAGTATTCAGGTGATTGCCTGGCACACGCAGTACACAACCGAAGGAACGCATCACACGATGTTGACACCACAGTGCGCAATCCTTCACGAACAATGGTTGCCGAAAGCGAATGGTCGTTCCAAAACTTCCTCGCAAATAGGCCAGGTCTCGCAGTTGTACAGCAGGGTCGCACACGCATTGGCATTGTATAATCCGCCGTTGACGACGCCACAAGGATCTCGGGTTAATGAATGCAAGGCGAATTTTAGCAGTTCGTTGTGGATTTTCATCTCTAATACCACCGCCAGTCGTGATGCAACTCCTGAGATAAGTAATTATCTTGCTCCAGCTTCTCGTCTGCAGTTGTGGCCTTAGTCACTTACTGATCCTGAAGCAAAATCTTACACTTGGATGGCGCAAAATGCTGACCACACTTAGATGCCTATGACTAGATGGTTCACTATATTTTTGGTAGTCCATGAATTGTTCTCACAACAAGCTGATCTCATTGGCATAATCCAAATTCACGTCTGTCGCCGGAAAGAAACTAGACACCCGGGTGTTTAGCTCTTCCCGATGCTCGGGGAAGGATATCTTCAATGGTAAACTGAAGCAGGTATGGTGAGATATGGAGCCTTTGGCGTACATCACTGCTAATTACATACTATGAATAGATCTTACCATTAGCCTTAAGATTATCCTATGTGGGATCATATAGTCCGTTGAGGATTGCGTCACCGTACACCGTTCTTGGCATGTCGT